GACTGACGACGCCTGGGTGGGAGATGGGTGGGAGAGAGGAGCTGGTTGACTGACGACGCCTGGGTGGGAGATGGGTGGGAGAGAGGAGCTGGTTGACTGACGACGCCTGGGTGGGAGATGGGTGGGAGAGAGGAGCTGGTTGACTGACGACGCCTGGGTGGGAGATGGGTGGGAGAGAGGAGCTGGTTGACTGACGACGCCTGGGTGGGAGATGGGTGGGAGAGAGGAGCTGGTTGACTGACGACGCCTGGGTGGGAGATGGGTGGGAGAGAGGAGCTGGTTGACTGACGACGCCTGGGTGGGAGATGGGTGGGAGAGAGGAGCTGGTTGACTGACGACGCCTGGGTGGGAGATGGGTGGGAGAGAGGAGCTGGTTGACTGACGACGCCTGGGTGGGAGAGTCAGTCAGCCAGTCTGCCACACGCCCTGGCACGGACGGCGGGGCACACGCACTCGCGGAGCACACACGGGGCACGCGAGGCGGTCTGTGCGATCTCGGGAGAGGGCTGGCAGTCACATGCATTGCAGAGTCAGCAGTGGGGCGGGCCGACTCTCTCAGTGGGGGAGATCTAGGGAGATATGGGGAGATATGGACTCTCCGTGTGATCACCTGGGTGGGAGAGGCGCTGCAGGCAAGACGCCTCCAGCAGCGCCTGGTTCGCGTCGTTGACAGAGGCGCAGCCGATCTTCTTGAGGACGATGGTCTTGCCGTGGCGCAGCGCCAGGGAGGCCTCGCCGAAGCCGCCCTTGCCGAGGGAGCGCCTCTCCTGCGTGCGGAACAGACCGAGGTCAGGGCGGGACTACGGCACTGTGCAGTGTCTTCAGAGCAGCGCGTGAGTACGAGGGAGGCAAATGCGGTCGAGTACAGCGGAGTACGTGTCCTCTCGAGCGCTAGTTGGACGACAAGAATGCGTATTCCGCTTCTAGGGTTCATCTCCTTGATGCGCCCTGCACAGCGCAGCGGGAGCGGCGGGGCCGGTGAGGGGGGCGATGGTTGGCAGGGGAGGCAATGGGCGGCAAAGGGAGAAGAGAGGCCAAGAGGGACGAGGGGGGGGGGGGGGGGAGGCGAAGCCCCTTGGCACCAGTGGCATTCGCACGGCTCCTGCTTTGGGGCGCCCCCCCGCGTGCGCTGCCAAAGCGCGCAACCAAACGCGACGCCGCCGATGATGAAGGCGCAGCCCGACATGTAGAAGGCCATCACTGCAGTCTCGCTCACTTCAATCGTCACGATCCGCCGCGCCTTGTCATGTCTCACAAGAAGGTGGCGCGGCGCGGCGCCCGCGACCTCGACCGGGGCCGCCGCCGCCGCCGCCGCGGCCGGCACAGGCGTGTGCGGCGCGAGTGAACCGCCCAGCTCGCCACCTCGCAGCCGAGCGAACGCCGCGGCCGCGGAGGAGCCACTCGTGCGCGCGTCAGCCTCGGACGATGACGGCTTGGGCTGAGCAGCCTGGGCGGCGGCATGCATGACCGTGGAGAGGGCGAGCACCGCTTCTATGGTGCCCCTGGAAGGATTTGCGGGGAGGACCGCCATCGCGCTGCTAGAATGCGGGGCGCGACAAGCCGGGCAGCACAGGCTGCGAAGCCAGCCAGGCCTGCAAGCGCCGGGAGGGGGGTGGGGGGAAGGGCAGATGCCGAAACACAGAGAAATGCGCCGTGCATGCTCCCCGTCGGGCTGCTGCGCGCTGGCGCTGCGAGTCGAGACAGCTTGGGGTTGGACGGGGGAGGGAAACCCAACAACGCTTTATGAGGGTGAAGTCTTTGCCCTTACTTCGTGCTCCCACCCGCCGCCCGGTGGGAATGTTCGGTGACAGCTTGTTTTCATCAATAATACAGCCGTGGCAAGAGAGAGAGTGTGTGTCTGCACAGCGGCACAGCCGGTGCACCTACCTAAAAAAGGAAGGTTCACGGTGGGCCGACGGTGCCCTTCCGAAGCGGCCTTCCACCTCTCAAAAAGTGCCCGAAAAAAGAGTGAAAGAATCATTGACTTGTCGGCCGGGCGAGCTTGGCGGTTTTCCGCGCCGCCTCTGCAGCGGGGGGCGCCCGCTTTTGCCGCTCGCGTTGCTTCTGCGAGGGCGAGAGCCGGGCGTTAGGTGAACGGGAGCGGCGCGGCCCGCGCACGCGCGCACGCACCTCGGCGAGCTGCCGGAAGTGCCGCAGGATGATGTTTGTCGTCTCCGTGCCGACAACTGCGGCGGGGCGAGCTTTTCGATGGGCAGGGATGGGCGTGGGTCTGCAGGCGTGGGTGGGAACCCTTTTGACGCCGGTACACGCCTTGGTCGGGAGGGGGGCTCGTGCGGTCGTGCGTGGCGAGGTAGGTTGGCGCCTCCGTGACCTGCGTTTGTTTGGGATGGGTGTGGGCCAAGAGAGCCGCGGGTGGTAAGCTCAGGTAGGAGCAGAGCACACGCCGGGAAGCTCGCCGCATCCAGTTTCCGCTGGGCAAAGGCGTTTGCGTCGCGCACGGGCAGCCCGCTCAGCAGTGCGCTCGGCCCGCCCCTCTCGCCTCGTTGCTCGCCGGACATGCTTGCCGGCTCGCGTTCTGCCGGCTCGCGTGGATACAGGCGGTAGGTCAAGAACCAGCCGAAGAAGGCCCGGGGGCCCGAGAAAAGAATTCGTGCTTGCTTTTATTTCTTTTTCACTCCTCAGCGTTGCGTCCGTTTGTTTCGTGCCCGTCTTTTATGCCTTCTGCGATCTCCCGTCGCTATGCAGAGTATGTACGTGCCAATAATGATCTGCTAACAACGAACCTACAACAATAATACCCAATAACAAAATGACAAATCCTCGCCTGAGTACCCACCCACCCTCACGCACAGTCAGTGTTCAGCGCTCACACAAGGATGGGCCCAATGCTGGACACCGGGCCGCGGACCAAACGCGCATGCAGGGGTGCTCATCCGACCACCCCCCGAATTGCAGTTCACGCAGCTGCCGGAGACCTGGCCACAATGCGGAAGGCCTTGCCACACGCGCAACAGTTGCTTTCCGGAAAGTTGAATCCAGCTCCTTGCGAGAATTCTCGGCCAGGCACCACGACACCATTCGCACAATAGCGACGTCCCGGCGAGCTCATGGGCGCTCAATCGCTCAAAAGGTCGCGGACCCGCCCGTCGCTTGCCGCCCCTCTCCCAGCCCTTGCCGGCGCTTTTGCACGAACCTAGGGCTCAGTTCCGTCTTCCTCCCCCTCGCTCCTGTAGGCAGGCCGCCCCGCGCTGGCGGGAAGAGGCGCGCTGAGCCATCGGCGACGTCCCGGCGAGCTCATGGGCGCTCAAAAGGTCGCGGACCCGCCCGTCGCTTGCCGCCCCTCTCCCAGCCCTTGCCGGCGCTTTTGCACGAACCTAGGGCTCAGTTCCGTCTTCCTCCCCCTCGCTCCTGTAGGCAGGCCGCCCCGCGCTGGCGGGAAGAGGCGCGCTGAGCCATCGGCGACGTCCCGGCGAGCTCATGGGCGCTCAAAAGGTCGCGGACCCGCCTGTCGCTTGCCGCCCCTCTCCCAGCCCTTGCCGGCGCTTTTGCACGAACCTAGGGCTCAGTTCCGTCTTCCTCCCCCTCGCTCCTGTAGGCAGGCCGCCCCGCGCTGGCGGGAAGAGGCGCGCCGAGCCATCGGTGACGTCCTGGCGAGCTCATGTCCCCCCAAAAGGTCGCACCCGCCCGTGGCTCCGCCGTCGGCTCCGCCGCGAGCGGCGACGGTGAGGCCGCCGGGGCTCGCCTATGCCGGCTAGTGTGGAGCTCTCAGTGTGGTTGCGTGTTGTACTAGTGATGCTGCACTAGGCGGCCCGTTTTTAGCAAAAACCAGATACCACATCGCGCGTGGTCATCGAAAAACCGCATGTTCGCCCGTCTGGGACCTTCCTCTTCGTACGGCTCCAAAAACCGCTCCTTAACGACGACTACGCGGCCCGGCGGTCGATCTGCGCCTTCTGAGCGGTGGAGGGGATGTGGGCGGTACGTGCGGACTGCGTGGTCATGCGACGGTTTGACGAGTGCGACTCCCAGCGTCGACTCTGCGACCCCACGGAGTCTCTGCTGAGCTCCGGGGGGGGGGGGGGGTCTGCAGACCACCCGGCCGAACTTCAGAGTGGCGGTGATCCTCAAATACCGCTCAAACGCCCACGATGATGTGGAGGGGACATATGCTGATGATCCTGGCCCGATGGTTTGCTCAGAAAGGCTAGTTCCAATTCACTCTGACACGCTAATCTTGAAAACGCGTCCAACGGAGCTCCGTGTTGCTCCCAGCGCCCTCCCCCGAGCTTCCTGCGGCCATGGCCGGTGCTACTAGTATGGGGGGCTACCTGGCTACCGCGAAAGCGACCCAACTCGTCGACATCGTCCGATGATGGTGCCGCAAAGTCAGCCTTCGGAGGCTATCGTGGGGTCGAGCCGGCAGTAGCCGTGACATGTGGTTCCACCACCCCTCGTAGGCTTTGCCTCTGACCGCCACCGTTCCCAGGCTGCCTAATGGGATGGAAAGGAAGGCTGGGCGAGCGTATAGAAGCGTGCTCGACCTCGTCGTGGCAACCTGCACGGCAGCGCTGGCAGGCGCGATGAGCGTCGTGCCACCTGACCCAAGACGGGTCGCAGGCGTCCTACCAAGCGCGTCGAGACCGTGTCCTGATGTGATCTGCACGGTTGAGTCACGTCGGCGTCAAAGGAGCGACGTGCGACCTGTCAGAGCTTGATCTCCGATCTCAGCGGCGTCGAGTCGTCTCCGGCGCGCGACACTATTGTACCTCCCCAGGACGCGCAGAGGCAGCTGCGATCCCGCCGAGTGGACGGGGGCACTCCGCGCCACCTGCCGAGTGCCCCCGTCCACACGGCGCGGGGTCGTAGCTGCCTCTGGAAGCGAAGGCACCGAGAGGTACAATAGTGCGCAAATGGTCAAATCAAGGTTTTGTAACACAACCTGTGCCACAGTGAAATGGAACTAGCCAAAGCTTCTGGGCGGTCGTTAACCCCTAAACGGCTACCGAAACGGGGTGCCCGGAAGGGCGATATCACGGCGGCCTAACTGTGCCTCCGTGCGCTCGCCACATACCCCCTGCTGCCCAAGGGTCGTGTTAGTACTTTATTGGGCACATACAGAGGCGGTGGGAAGCCACCACGTTCCCTTCACATTTTCCGCCACAGAGCTCCGGAGCGCGCTCTGCAGCCGCTCTGCACGAGCTCCACTGGGACGCGGTTTCGTCTTTCGATCCCAGACGGTCGTCGCACGTCGGCGCCCCAGTGAGGTCCGCTGTCATAGGTGTAGCACGCTACTAGACACACTGCCTCCAAGTTGAGCGGTGGAAAATTGTGACGAAGCCACGCACCGAAGCGCCGGCGTCCCTCTGGCAATCTGCCACCGACAGCAACACGCCTTTGATCACCGGCTGCTTGCGCTCCGCATACTCTCCAGAAGCTGTTGGTTGTGTGGCTGGCGCTACTTCTATCAGCCTTCCTCATGCACAATGTTGCCGTTGAGCTACGAGGCTGCAACCCGTCGTCATTTGAGTTTGCTGGCTGCCAGCCACACACAGCGCGTTCCTGCTGCACGAATGGTTGGACAGGTGTGAACAACACCTCGTGGGGGCGGCACCGCAGGCGTCCATTGAGGGGTCCAGGTGATAGCCCTTGGCGGGCAATCCATACGCCTAGTTGGGCTTCAGATCGCCCGATCGCGTCCCGGTGAACTGACGTCGGATTTGTGACGCCGCCGCACCGCGCCGCGGCCGGGGGCCCTCTGGAGGCTGAGGATGGCCGTGGCGGACCTAGACGAGCTCTGGGAGGTAAAGTGTCAGTGTATATATTGTAGAGGCTGACCACGTGCACAATATCTCTCACTCTAGCTAAGTCAGGGGAGGCTATTCTGGGCGTCCACACGGCTTACACCGGTGACCCTCGCGACAAAGCGAGCGCGTCCGGCAGAGCGACTGAAGAATCGAGGACAGAGTCACAAATCCCGCTTGTTGTGCATGTTTTGAGGTCGGGCAGTACTGCTGTCTTCTCCACGCAGCAGCCGACGCCACCAGGCCTCGGTAGCTGAGCAGCAGGAGCCTCCTCGCTGCTGGCAGAGTTGCGCCTCTGTTTGCCGCCGCTAAGAGATCGTTGTTGCGGGAATCCAGGGAATCTAAAGGAATCTAGAATCTGTGGGTCCGAGATTCGATCTGGGACCTGAGCCGCTCGGGACCAGCTGCACATGAAGCGGGGCCACTGCCATGTCGCAGACGACTGCTGGATCGGCCGTATCTACGACCAGCCGTCCTGCAAAGGAAATAAAATAAGAGGCCGTTCCAAGTTCCCGTCACTGACGGGAACGCCGTTTAGGGGTTAAGGTTCGCTCCCCGCACACCGGCCCGGAAGTATGGTACCCTAGACGGACATGCCCAGAGCCTAGACGCGCGTCACATCCCCGTTTCCCGCGCGTTCAGGTCTGTAGCGCCTGTGCGCCCGCCGCGCCCAGCCTCGAGCCCTCAGGCAAGGCTTGCACAGGCCGCGGCGGCGGCAGAGAGGGACTAAGGGCCAGGCGCGGCCCTCCTCCCGGGGTCGGTGGAGAAAGCTCAGGCGCCGTGCCCGAGCCCGCCGCCCAGCCTCGAGCCCGCCGACTTGCGCTTGTGCAGGAGGTAGAGGTAGACGAGGACCGCCGCGGCGGGAAGGAGGACGCAGAGGACGCCGAGCACGACGGCCGGCGGCAGCCACCACGGCTCCACGCCGTCGGCGACGGAGTAGAGGTAGTTGAAGGTCGAGATGAGCGCAGCCGCAATCGCCGTCCCGACGAGCGCCACGCCGCGCATCTGCAGGTCGCGCACGCGGCGGATGCGCGCGAGCTCGAGGTTGATCTTCTTGCGGTAGCTGTAGCCGTTGGCGCGGATGTGGCCGCCGGCTGCCTTGCTGAGCCGCGCCTGCAGGCGGAGGGAGGGCCGAGAGCGGCGCTGTCACGAGGGGCTGTCGATCGCGCCGTGTAGGGCAATCGTTCCACTCTCAGTCGCTGTTGCGGTCACAAAGAGAGGGCGAGTTCTGTCTAGCGGCGCGCCAAGACGTCGGGCGGCGCGTCGCCCTCGATGTCGAAGAGCGCCTTGGCGGCGCCGAGCGCGTCGAGCACCTAGCGAACGGAATAGGGCAACCGAGTCAGTGGACACTGACTGTGAACGAGGAGCGTCCGGGAGGGGAGTAGTGGAGCGAACCTTCTGGTCGCCCGCGATGCAGTCGATGACGGCGATGCCGCGCTCGACGCCGATCTTGCGCCGCAGCTCGAGGATGGACATCCAGGTGGACGCCGCGTCCTTCCACGTGTCGCTCTTCACCTCCAGCGCCTGTTCCGAGGGGGGAGGGGGGGGGGGGGGGTGAGGAGGAGACGTGCTCTCTCAAATGAGGCCTCGGTGTAGAGGTAGTACCCCGATCCGGTGGTGTGGTCGCCGCTCGGGCCGGTGAAAATCGATGGCGTGCCGCCACTCGTCCTCGTCCACGGGTAGCTGCTTGTCCTCGTTGTCCAAGGCGCGGTGTCCTTCCAGCCGCAAGTGCCTCTCTCAAAGTCGCAGGTAAGTTGCTGAGCGATCGGAGTCGATGGTGCGGATAGTGGCGGCGGCGTCACTGGTGGCGTCGGACATAGCAGACACGGGTCACAGTGGCACGGACCGACGCCCATCCCATCGCATACCACTCCGGGGCAGGGCAGAGGCGAAAGCGAGGGCGAGGGGGTTGGCTGCGGCGGATGCGGCAGTGGAGCAGACGGGAAGCGGTGGCCGCAGTCGACACAGTCGCTGCCGTGGTCGCAGGCGCTGCGGGCAAGGAGGTAGGCGGTTGGGTGTCTGTGGGGCCGGCTGGGAGGAGGCGAGGGGGAGGGCGGAGGGCCGGGCGGGATGGGCGGCACCTGTAGAGGGCGCCGTGCCCTCCGTCTTCACACTCGCCGTCGTTGGAGTGAACGCACGAGTCGGTGCACTCGGAGGCCGGAAGCCCCGACGCCGCCGAGGGCGAGGCTGGGGTCAAAGGTGGAGGCGAGGCGTGGGGGCGCTCGCCGCAATCCATACAGTCGGTGCCGTGGTCACAGGCGCTGTAGAGGGCGCCGTTGCCGCCGTCGTCGCACTCGCCTGAGAGAGGCAAGGAGATGGTGAGATTCGCGAGCCTTTTGCGGGTTGCAAGGGCCGAGGCTCGGGTTGTACCGTCGCGAGCGTGGAAGCAAGAGTCGGTGCACTCGGAGGGCGGAGCCGACGTGGTCGCTGCGGGAGGCGGCGAGGCCGACGGCGGAGCCGACGGGAAGCGGTGGCCGCAGTCGGCACAGTCGCTGCCGTGGTCGCAGGCGCTGCGGGCAAGGAGGTAGGCGGTTGGGTGTCTGTGGGGCCGGCTGGGAGGAGGCGAGGGGGAGGGCGGAGGGCCGGGCGGGATGGGCGGCACCTGTAGAGGGCGCCGTGCCCTCCGTCGTCACACTCGCCGTCGTTGGAGTGAACGCACGAGTCGGTGCACTCGGTGGCCGGAAGGTGGCCGGAAGACGCCGATACCAGGCTGACGGCACGATCGACGTATGTGATCTCCTCCTGCCCCCTTGGGCCTGGGAGCGCGTAGACGACGGTGCACCCGCCGCTTTGGACGTAGCCTTTTATTCCTCGCACAAGGACGCCAATCATCATTCCGTCCGCATCGAAGATGCCACTGCCGGAGTTGCCGCCGAAGGAGTCAGTCGAGGCTACAAAGAACTCGAAGCCGTTCGACCTCCCAGCGTCGGTGACCGTGCCACCGGCCTCCACCTTGGCGGGCATGCCGTCTGGGAAGCCAATCATCATCAGCTTTTGGCCCGGCGTAGTAGGGACCAACGTCTTGCGGTAGGTGGCCGGGACACGGCCGAGGACAGGCCGGTCCAGGGTGATGTGCGCAATGTCGGTGCCGCCGGTCGCATACATGGTGCTCACAGACTTGCAAAAATATACGTCGTCAGAGGTGATCAAAGGGAATGTGGGGTCGCCGTGAGCGTCATGGCCGGTAACATAGTAATTGAAGACGTACGCCGCGCTGTCGCACGTTTTCTGGTCTGGCACGCAGTGCCCAGCCGTGATGACCCCGGTCGGACTGACCAGCGTGGCAGAGCAGTAGCCAAGCCGTGGCTGCCGCAAGAATTTCTGGCCGTCGCACATGTTCCGAACAGGGCCGAGCCGAAGGGAATCTGCGTAGTCATCGAGAATGCGGTAAATACCGTGCGAGTCAGGAGCACCGAGGTCCGCTCGAGTGATGTGCACCATGATCGAGTTAGCCAACAGACGTCCCGCCATTGCGTCGCCGGCAGAGGTGTAATCCAGCTCGTACCAGTCTCGCCGGTCGTCGTTGCCGTACACCGTTCTCGGCACGGCCACTGGCGACGGCGGCAGGGCGCATCTCACGCCAAAAATATTGCAGAGTGAGAGGCTCTGGGGTACCAGCATTGCCCGACTCGCTGGCCGAGAAATGGTGATCAGCGACAATGCCACCATCAGAAGAACGGCAAAGCCGAGCCGGCCGCGGCTGTACCGAGTAGGAAGCCGCGAAGAAATCATTAGTGTCCGCCTGTCCCACGCGGTCTGGCGCTGGCACTAGAATTTGTACGTGCTGGGGCTCCACTGTGACGTGCCCCCCGGAATCGCCGCGCTCGAGGAGGTCGTTGATTTTTCTCTTTTTCCAAATAAATAAATAAAACGGACACCTCTACTGTGAGATGGGTAAAAAGGAACAGGTCCCCGCCCTTGCGATGTTTGTGCAGGGTTCTTTGTCCAAGTGCTCCAAGAACCTAACCTTTTTCGCGGCACGCGGGCCAGTGTTTGAGTGTTGTGCGACAAAACGCACCTCTCCGGTCGGTGCTCGGTCCACACACAGCGGGGCTCAAGCGTCAACCTCCGTCAAGGCGAAGCCGAAGGGGCTCGGCTGTACAAGCGGTGAGTAACGCTAACGGTAATCTAGTGTAGACTGTAGTCTAGTCGCCGTGCTCGTGATGTTCCTACTTCGACTCGGCACGCGCACTATTTTACGCACACAGCAGCGCGCTCAGGTATTTCACGACACTCCCCGAACTGCCCACTCACGCTTGCAGGCCGAGCAGCTGCTAGTCGGCACCAGTTCCGCCGAAGCGTACACCGGCCGCGCCATCTGCTGGCGCGTCCTCGCTCACCGGCATCGCCTCTCTCCAAGACTCGGCCGCTGGGTACGACTCGTGCACCCGCCCGCAGCCGTTCTGCGGGCCTTGCCACCGCAGCGAGTCGGGCTGCGGCGAGGAGCCGAGCTCGTCGAAGCCCTGGCGCAGCCCGTCCTCGAAGAGCAGTAGCCGCAGCTTCTCGTCGAAGTGCAGCGCGTAGATCCGGTCGTACTCGGCCTCCGTAAAGTCCCAGTCGCGGACCTAGAGCCCCCAACCGCGAGACCGTCCCCCTTGTCACGGAAAGGGGCTTCCTCTCGGCTGTGATTCGGCTGCCACTCGGACTATCCTCCGCACAGGGCGAACTCTCGGCGATACTCCGCTCGGTCTCCTCGGGCGGGGCGGGCCTGGTCCTCCGGCACGCCGAGCGCGCGCGTGAGCCAGACGGTGTTCACCGACTCCCACGCCACGAGCACCGTGCTCACGCCCGACTCGGAGAGCTTTGCGAGGAGACTCTCCGCTGCGGCGCGGTTGCAGCACTCGCCCGCGAACCGGTCGTCGCACCGCCTCCCCCCTGCCCATGAGTCGCCTCCGCAGAGTCCGTACGGGGCGCACAAACCCTGGCGAGAGACGAGATGGCCGGGGACGGCGCGCGCGAAGGAGGCATCCGGCTGCACCTCCGCTCCGCACAGCTGCGGCATCCACCCGCTCGAGTTGCCGACCGTTAGGCCGAGCCCGCCGGGAGCGGCCTGCGCGAGCGCGGCGAGGGTCTGCTGCGTCCGGTACCAGCCGTTGGCGTCGCGGCACTCGAGGGGATCGTGGTAATTCGCTGAGAAGAGAGCGTCTGGCGTGTGCAGCCAGCCGCCTTTGCCAAAGATACTCTTCAGGTTGTATGCGCGCGCCCAGCCCTTTTCGGAGAGGCACCCATGATCGTAGTCGTAGTCCGAGCGATCGGCGGGTTCAGCCTTCTCTCCGTGCCGGATGATGTAGATGCGCTTCGTCGCGCGCGAAGCAGCGGCGGGCAGAGTCAAGCGGCGCCCCTCGTTGTGTGGGAATGCCGGCCGCAGCACGAGAAAGGCTAAGAGCTGAGCGGCCGCGACGGCCCACCCCACAGCGCCGACGAGCCCGCAGCGCGGCGGTTGAGTCCGTGTGACGACCGAAGGCGCAACGTGACCGATCATGTATCCAGGCGCGAGGTGAGCCAGGGACCAGGTTCGTTGTGAAGAGCTGGGGGGGGCGCGCCCCCAAGAGCCTAGGTAGGTGCGGATCGGCAAGAGCGCAATCGATCTTTTTGCCCTCTATCACCTTGGGTTGTAAGAACTTGAAACACACCACGTAGGGGCACAGCAAGCACGGATAGCCGTTGAGGAGAAAGGGCGTAAGGTGTATGCGCCACCTCCCGGCTCCCGCGAGCGCGGCGGGATCGGAATTGCGGCCGGAGGGAAGGGCGAGCCGCCGCCGCCGCCGCCATATACCATCAGCGACGACGACCGCGGCTCGCCCCAAACGCCAGGCGCTGGATCGGCAGTAGGGCTTGGGCGGCGCAGCGTAGGCCTCGAGCCACACGAGTCGCCGACAACCCCCCCTCATCGACGTGATGGCCGCACCCGCTGCCGGCCGATGCAAGCTGCCGCCTCCACCGCACCAGCGATACTGGCCGCGGCTCGCCGCCACGCGCCGGCTCGGAAGAGGGGCTATCGGCGGCGCAGCAGAGCGGCATGCGTCGTCATTCGAGCAGCACCAGGTCCCCTCTTCGACGTGACGGGCTGACGGCCGCTCCCGGAGCCGGCCGGTGCGCGCCCGACCCACGCCCCCTCTCGCACCCCCCCCGATCCCCCTGCGCGGCGCCCCCTCCACTGCGCGCCGGCTCGAGCGCCTATTGCCAAATCGCAACTTTCGAGCGCAGTGCGTGCGCCCCACACGTCACGCGAGCGCAGGAGAGTTTGCGGCACAGCAGTACCGTGTACTAGCCGGAGGCATCGCGCCGAAAACCCCGCGCATTCCGCCCCAACAGAGGCTGCAGGAGGCAGATGGCCAATAGCGACGATCGTTACGAAATGTTGCGTGACCGGGAGCTTGATCACTTGAGCACTGGATAGGGTCGATTCCGCATGGTACGGGACCCCTCGATCGTCTCGCCCTCCCTCAGTGGTATGTTCATTGGGGGGGGTCATAACCGGGAGCTCTCCAAGCTGTCTTGGGTGGTATCTCGAACTTTCTTGCATTTTTGCTCCCGGCTTAGGGAGCAAGCAAGCCCACTCAACCCCAAGTACTCACCATTCTTACAGTGGTGTAGCTTTTGTGCAGAGGCTGCAGCCTCTGCTGGGGCGGAATGCGCGGGGTTTTCGGCGCGATGCCCTCGGTGAGTACACGCTACCGCGGTGCCGCAAGCTCTCCTGCGCGCGCGTGACGTGTGGGACGCGTGCGCTGCGCTCAAACGTCGCGATTTGGCGATAGGCGCTCGAGCCGGCGCACAGCGGATAGGTGCGCCGCGCAGGGGGGGTCGGAGGGGTGCGAGAGGGGGCGTGGGTCGGGCGCGCACCGGACGGCCCTGGGAACGGCCGTCACGTCGAGGAGTGGGGCTGTTGGCGGCTCGAGCGCCGAGGCGAGCCGCTCTGCTGCGCCGCCGACAGCCCCTCTTCCGAGCCGGCGCGTGGAGGCGAGCCGCGGCTGGTGTCGCTGGTGCCCCTGGCCACTGTTCTTTTTATCTGGAGGATTGAGAGCTGCCTCGCTCTCAATCGTGACGCCTACGACTACTACCAGCGCGCTCACAATCCGAGCAAGCTCTAGGCCGAGTTTGAAAAACGGACGCTTGCGTCCTAGCCTCCAACAACATACCTTAAACAACGCCTCCCCGGCGCAGAGGGGCCCCCGGAGGGATGCACAACCGCTCCACGCCACGCCGCTTGCGGCGGTCCTATTCCCAGCTCCGCTGAAAAAAGAAAGAAAACGGACAACCCAAGGGAGGGATGGGAGCTCCGCTGATTCTCCGGGCAAAATTTTTTTTTATACGACGTCTGGCGTCCGGCATGGCAGCGAGCGCTGAGAAGGGCAGCACGACGACGCAGCACCGCGACCTGCTGGAGGCGCGCGCGCCTCCCCGCACCCCGTCTCCTCTGCGCCGCCGATTCACGCCGCCTCCGCGTCTGCATCCGAGCCCGCGGCGGCGGGGCATTGGGTCGCGCGGGACTGGCCGTCGCCCTCCCATGACCGCCAGTGGCTCTACTGCTCTCCTCCGATTCGGCGCGCTCTCACCCCGGACCGCGGCGCACCGCGATCCGCAGGAGGACGACGAGTTTGAGGAGTTTGAGCAGCAGGAGTGGGCCGAGGGGGACCAGGACGTGGAGGACCCGACGATGTGGCAGGTGTCCCCCCACCCACGCGCGCCTTGCCGTACTCGTGGTGCGCGCCCACTACCCCGCCTAGTCCCCACCCCACCCCACTCCGCCGCAGGATGGCTGGGAGGACGACGAGGAGGACGAGAACTTCACCAAGCAGCTGCGCGCCGAGCTGCAGCTCACGGAGGCGGCGGCCAAGGCCGCCGAGCCTGCGGCGATGCAGCAGTGAGTGCCGTGCGCCGGCTGAGAGAGTCTCTCCCTTCCTGCATTTTGTGAGTTTCGTATTTTGAATATATTCAACACTTTTGACCGGGGTCAGATCGGAGTCCGGAGAAGCACGAGAAGGCGGGGCCGGGCGGCGGGGCGCGGGGGGGGTCCCCGGCGCCGGCGGCGGGGGGACCTCCGACTCGAGAGGGAGCGTAGAGCGAGGCAGGCTCACTCCCACCTCCCACATTTGCAACCCTCGGCGAGTCCCTCGCTCAGCTTGGGCAAGGCGGTAACGGAGCGGCACTTCACAGGCGAGGCGAGGCTGGTCGAGTCGAGCTGACCGGTGAACGCGTCGTGCCCGGAGGAGTGCACGCCCTCTCGCCACCCCACCGACCCGTGCGCCGTCTCGAGGGCGGCTCGGCGCTGCGCAGCCTCCACGTTGTTGCGCACGCACCACACCCAAGCATTGCGCGACTTGGGCGAATCGGCGGTGAAGTGGTAATCGGGGCCGTGATTCACCTTGATCATCCACCGGCTCGTGCGCGACCCTCCGACGCCGCGCACGTACGCAATGTCGGTGAAGGCAATCTCCTTGGACTTTGTTCCGGTTGTTGTGTGCTCATAGACAATGCGGTCCGAGAGAAGCTGGAGTTCACGCTCGGCATACTCTCCCACCCCGATGCCGAGCACGCCGTGCCGGTTGGCCTTGAGCTGCCGCCCCGACCGCGCCAGGTCTCGCCACACGCGGCTCCGATTGTCCTCCTCGCTGAGGAAGGCCTGCAGCCGCTGCATGGGACGCTTGCGAAGTCGGTAGAAGAATGCCAGCGCATTGAGGGAGGCCGTGCCGCCATGGCCAGAGGAGCCGCCGACGCACTCGCACTGTGTTGCGGGCGGAGATAGAAGGGCGCCATCGCTCAGCGAGGGATGCCGCTCGGTGGACGCGTCACTCATTGCGGTGTCACGCTTGTCAACCTCCACGCTCGGGGGTCTTGATATCGAGGGCCTTGATGTCGCCATGGTAGACCTTGTTTGTGTGCTTTGGTTGGCGGCTGAAGGACGTACGAGTCGGTGGCCACGTCGCAGGCACCTCAAGGGAGTGGATTCCTGGCTGCCCCACACACATAATACTTAATACCCGGACGTAAACGCTATCTTATCTACACGCAGAGAGGCACGGTGTTTTTAGGGCGTTCCCGGTTTCCCTCAACGTTTTGTTTATGTGTGTGTATCTGTGACTCTGACTGTGTCTGTGTATCGCGCGCCGGGGGGGGGGGGCAGCCCCGCCCCGCTCCTCTGTTCACCCATCCTGAGAGAGACAGAGAGAGAGATGTGTTTGTTTTGTTCCCGATTCCTTGCATTTAAGATTTTTAGAAGAGTTTCTTCTTCTTGTTTTTTCAAAATCTCTCTCTGTCTGTCTCTCTGTCTCTCTCTCTCTACATCTACATCAAAGAGCAGAGCCGCAGCTCTCCAGACCGAGACCGCGTGGTCCATGTCCATGTTGTGGATAAAATCCCACTTCCCAGCGGGCGCACAGGGCCAACGTGTCGACGCGCCTCGCGCCGCGGCCACCAAAGAAGACGCACGAAATAGCGGCGCAAGCGATTGCTACGGTGGTGCCGTGTGTGTCTTGTGCTCTGCCTCGTCACGTGAAGATGCCACCGAAGGCACCCCGCTCTTCCTCCCTCGCGCGTCCCTGCGCAGCCTTGAGCTGCGTGAGGGCGGCCCGCACCTCGCGCGACTTCGGGTCCGCCTGCCGGCGGCGGAGAGGCGGCGTCAAGAGATATCGGGCGCGCGGGGGGGGGGGGGGGGGGGGAAAAAAAAAAAGACAGATAAAAAAAAAAAAAGCCACTGAAACAGATAAAAAAAAACATCGGCCTCTCCAGAAGGCCCCCCCCAGCGTGCTTCAAAGAAGTAAACCCCGGAGGAAAAGGTGTGACCTTTCATCCCTTCAAAAAATACTTCTTTGCTGCCCTCCCTTTCGCAAAAAGGAAACCCCCCTTTCCCCTTCTAAAAAAAACCATCGGGTGATTTACAGATACGACGTTCAAACTTTCAAAAAAATGG